CCTGTCACCTACCATTCAAGGACAGACTTGCAGCCAGCCATTTCAGCCCGGGATTTATGTTCACTTGTTTCTTGGACCCCTCAATTCTGTTTCCAGTTCAGCTGCTGCTCCTGTTAAAATGCAGTCAGCTGACCACAAAGTTTCCCCACCCTCAGGATGGGCATCCTGAGTGTACCTTGAACCTGGACTCTGGAAAGACATTCTCACAGAGACCACAGGGACTACTGCCAGCAACTGAGTGAAGCCAGGGCTTCAGTAAAGTACCATCATTTTCTAAGACCAGTCACTGTCAGGGGTCACCTATGAGGCTGAGCACACTGCTACAAACTGAGAAAAACAAAGACAGAGGCAGGGAAGGTCTCAAAACTAAGTTTAAAAAACTTTTTAATTCAAGTATTGCCTGTCCTAATTTGAGGGAGGGTCTACTTCATTTTAAGTCTATTTCTTTTGAAAGTTTAGCAATAGTGTTATTTTTTAAATGTCCTTACTTGGAATAATAAAGTAACTGGCAACCCTATGTTAGCCCCTTGCACTTTGGGGGAAGTTTATGGCCCAGGAAAACCAGAATTCTGGTTTTGATGGCCTTATTCCTACTTTCTCTCTATTTGAAATGTCAAATTTTGGCCCTGGCTGGTGTGGCTCAGTGGACTGAGTGCCAGCCTGAGAACCAAAGGGTTGATGGTTTGATTCCCAGTCAGGGCGCACGCCTGGGTTGCGAACCAGGTCCCTAGAAGGGAGCACAGGAGAGGCAACCGTACATTGATGTTTCTCTCCCTTTCTCCCTCCCTTCTTCTTTCTAAAAGTAAATAAAATCTTTAAACAATAAAAGGTCAAATTTTGGAAAATTTTTATACATAGGTAGAAGATTTAAGGTATGTTAAGTGATTGAATATTTAGGCAAGAAATCTAAATGTTAGAGCATTATTTTAATAACTAGAAGGCAAATGACAAGTGGTGATAGGGGCATAAAGTCAATTTCATTGATACCAAAAATCAATAATATCACTATCCTCACAGGGCTGCAGGGAGGACCAAATTAGATAAGCAGGAAAGGGCTTCACAATTCTGATTCTGATGTACCAGAAATGTCATAACGCAAAGTCTCAAAGTACGCTAAGGAACATAGAAAGAACTCATTGTAGCCTTGTCCCTGCCCACTTGCTGACCAGCTGTGTCATGGTGGCTAAGTTGTTTACGTCTTTGAGCCTTTGCTTTTTCACCTGTAAAATGGGGATAACTCTCAGTCTCCTTATAAGGATCAGAAAGAGTATGCTTTTGCTGATACATAGTAAATGCTCAATAAATTGTAGCTACTACTAATAGAATGTTTTTATATGTAAGACAACTAAATTACTTATCCAGAGTCACAACCTAGTGAGTGGCAAAGCCTAAATAAAGAACCGAGGCTCCTTAGTCTTACTCTAATGTGTTTTCTGGAATGCAATGCTGCTAGAGGGGTGGTGCTGCCTGACAAAACCATTTCAGTACAAACAAAATTAACAGGTAAAATAAAACAATGGTTGACCAATATATAATTTTATGGGTGTTCTTTGGTATGTTAGATAGTTGTGAATTTCTATAGCCAACTAGTTTTTTTTTCCATTTCTCAAACTTTAAAAAGCTGCTCCTGTACTTTTTGAAGAACCTGTTAAATTACATTAGCTATATCAGACTAAGTAATTCAATTCCATGAGTACGAGATACCAAGTATTATTTGAAAATAATATTCCACTTAGACAATTTCCATTAAATAGTCAATTATTTAAAAAGAGTCTTTTAAGCTCAACCAAATCAACTTTTGACTTAATAATTAAAAAAAAACACATTTTGCTCACTTAAAATAGGTTTTCTCAAATCCCTTAGGACAGGGGTGTCAAACTCATTTTCACCAGGGGCCATATCAGCCTCGTGGTTGCCTTCAAAGGTCCGAATGTAATTTCAATTACTTAACAATTAAGGAGTAGTTACATTTATACAGTCCTAAAATTATATTCGGCCCTTTGAAGGTAACCACGAGGCTGATGTGGCCCCAAGTGTAAGTAAGTTTGATACCCCTGCCTTAGAATTTCCACAATAACCTTGTATACAAAGTCCAGGTGAGTCTGGTTCACTTTAAAAAAGCACTTTGGAGGTAGTCTCTTCTAGCCTCTGAATTATGCAGGCCATTACTTAGCAAGGCCCCTTGGTCTGCGCATAAGCAGGCTCTTCCCCACTGGCCTGCGGGGTGCACAGTCTTTCCCAGACTCTGCTGTCACGAGCAGACACATCTACAAGTCCAGACAGGGTGAGGGAAAAGTTCTACCAGGGAAGATCTTTCCTTATACGCAGCTGACTATACTGCCTAGAGATGAAACTTGACAGACTGGCGTCAGAAGGACCTATGAGCTAATTGCTCACACAGCAGGCATTCAGGTGAGGCAAACACAATTCCACACCACACCCAATGCCATATTTAAATAGCATTTTTCCAAAGGAACTTGAGGAATGAATTTATCTTTACAGCATTCCAATGGTGATGTTCCCCAAATATTCTGTACACATCTCTACCACTGCCCTTATCAACTTGGATCATCTTGTTCCCCAGGACTCTGGGCCACATCTGGATAGACCACGTCCCTTTCACCACTGAGGGGTCCCCAGTGGGTAGGTTAGCACCCAACACACAATAAGTGCTCAATAAGTGATCTAGTAAGTGGAAGGAGAAAGCACTCAGAAAGAGAGTCTGAAGGGGGATTAGCTTTCTTAAAGGGTCTTCACACTCTGGATCAGACCAGAAACTATCATCTTTCTCTGAACTTCCCACAATTAATAAACACTATGAAGTCAAGTACTACAGGCTATGTATGGAGGAAACAAAAATGAGCAAGACCAGAATCCAACCACATAAGAGAGCTTGTTTGGTGGTGGGGGAGGTATGTGCATGTGTACGTGTATGTACTTATTTGTTTGTTTAGGGGACAAGAAACAAACTGTCTGGTCTCCTTGCCTCATACTTTCTTTCTCAATCTCAAAAATCCTATGGAATCCTGCCCAGTTAGCTTCACTGTCTTCATGCTGAAGTCATACTCAGAGGCTTTATGGCTCCAGTTGCTACAGAACAAGGTCCACGCTCCACAGCATGGCAGTCAAGGTCTTGAGGCAATCACTCCTGATGTCCCCTAGTAAGTCTTTCCCAGAATATGGGGGTGCTGCTCCATTGTGGCCCCAGCTTAGAAAGCTCTTCCTCATCTCTCCTCTGCCTTACTGTAATGCATACCTTTGCTCACCTCCTATTTCACCTCCACCCACCCAAGCCCTGTTACCCACCCATTGGTGCTCATGCTGATTTCTTTCCATCACACAGTACAACTATATTATCCCTCATTTTTATATATTTTAAGTGTGGAGCCATAAAAGATTGACAATTCTGAATTGCTTTTACCTCTATTTTATATATATCAGGTACTAAAGTACCAGTATAAACTCTCATTTGATGGTTGAACTCCCTGTACTTTATATAATCCAACATTAGATATTTGAAACAGGTACACTTATGCTACTGAACTTTAACATCATGGTCCCAAGGCCAACATTTAAAAAACAAACAGGGTACAGAGAGTACAAGTATTTCCAAAATGATCTATTCTAAAATAAGTATTAAGGGAAACAAATTCTCACAAACCAAACAAAAAGACAATTCAAAATTTGAGGGTTAATTTTCTATTTAAGACATTTTGAATGTAGTACTTTTTTGTTATACGGCAATTTAAAACCAATTCACCCCAAATTGTATTTCCTTGAAACTACCAGTGGATACAATACTAAATACATGTACAAGACTACAAAATACTTTTAACTCTAAATCTCAAATTTAAATACTATTCAATGTTCCTTGAACCTCCTCTAAGGAAACCCAACACTGCCTATCACTAACCATGAATGCCCTTTATTTTAAAGAGTCCCCTCAACTATGTGGTTCCCAGCGGTGACAGCTTTTAAGGGATTTTCCACAGAATCAACTGTTACCTACACCCACCAGACAGACCTCAACGCCAAGTCCTCTACTTCTGACTTCATTAAAAAATTTCCCCTGCAGTTTCAATTTTAGGTCCTGAGGACATTAAACTCCCTCACGTAAGTATTCCTGTATTTCCGTCATTGTTGTACTTCACCCATCTAGGTGTACTGGATGACTTATCTCCACTTTTGTGAGTCCCTGGGTTATTTGAGGTCAGGGACAAGTACAGCTGAAGTCCTTCTGCCCCGTATTTATAGTTAAAGCAAGAAATTTAGTGTAGTTTTAGTCTTAATAATATTCTCCATAGATTCTCCACAGGAAATTTTAAACTTCATTATTTCAGCATATCATAAAAGTGAGTTCAAATATAGAAAATAAGCCCTGGTTCACGGAATACTACTCGCGAGGTACAGCTAAGGCACCAAAATTTAATGTTAGATGACCCACTTTGGCCCCTGGCCGGGGGCACAGCTTCAATTTCACTATGCCCTCTGCCCGCTGCTTCCTCGCACCATCTTTTCCCTGCGTGAGTGATGTTAAAGGTCGAGAGTTTCCGTGGAGAGATGCTCACACTGTGCCCAAGCGCTGAGCGGGACCAATGCATCACCCCACCTCATGACCGCCCTTGGGGGGCGCGGGAGGGGACGCTAAGACTCCTGTGTTCAATAACCGGCTCCTACTCGGACCGTGCGAGGGGCCTGAGGAGTTTGCGCTGGGGGAGGAGGTTCCAAGAGCAAGTATGCATGGAGACTACACTAAATTTCTTCGTCTGCCTTTGGGAATAGAATCGGGGGCTTCCACGGGGTCCTTCCCCTCCCCTAGATAGCACCGAGAGGTCCATCCACCAAATGTAAGGCCACCAAGAGCCACACAGTTGGGGAGGTAAAAGCTCAGAAACGCAGTAAGAAGTGAGGCCGACTGAGCGAGGACATTAGTCCTGGGGCGCTGGGGACCGGGGGAGGGCAGTGCGGGCGGCAGGAGGGCCCAGCCCCGGATCCCTTACCCACGGTGGACTTGCAGGCCTCGCAGAAGGTGTCGTCGGTGAAGCGCTCCATCAGGCTGGTCTTGCCCACTCCGCGAGAACCTATGATGATGACCTGCAGCTTAAAGTCGGCCGGCCTGGGGGGCTGCTTCCTCCGGCGGGCCTGGCCACCCGACAGCGCTGGGGAACCCGCGCCCAGGCCGCCGCCGCCGACCCCTGCCCGTCTCTGCAGCGCGGCGCCCGGATCCATGCACGCATACGGCTCGCGCTCGGCCCGCCGCCCGCCGCTACCCGCCCCCCGGACGCGTGCCCCGGGCTCCGGTGCCCCTTCGGCCTCCGCCGAGCGCCAGAGGTCGACCCCGGGCTCGGCGTCTGCCCACTCGAATGGCTCCGGGGGCCCGCGGGCTTCGCGCTGCAGCTGCGCTGCTGGCCGCCTGTCCACGCCGCTGCCGCTGCTGCCGCCGCCGTCGCTGCCGGGAGAAGAGGAAGGGAAGCAGCTACTCCGCAGCAGCGGCAGGAGCATCCCGGACAAGGAGGGGCAGGAAGCGCAGGCGCGGGACGGGAGGTGGGGGGAGCCGCGCCGGATTTGAGGCCGATTGCACGCGCGCCCCCTGCCGACGGGAGGACCACCCGCCCTGCGCCCCTCTGCTGTTACTGCGGGCTTCACTCTTCACCTACTTTGATTTCTTGTAGCCTGCTGCTGCTCCGCTTCCACTTTGTTCACCTTGCCAGCTCTCTGTTCCCTGTTTTGTTTCTGGCGGCTTTTTTTTTTTATCTTTCCATTCTCCCCCACATTCTCCCCTTTTTCTTTTCACTACTCCTTTCAATGTGCAGTCCTAAAACACCACACCCGTTTATTAGACACCTCTTCCCCTAAACCTGTTACCCTCTCACGTTGTCTCTCCCAAACCATCGTCGCGACTCTCAATGTTACCAGGACGCTCGCAAGTCGCTAAGCCAAGCCTCCAGTGTCCCATCCGGCCAACTCGGGGCTTCTGTCGAGACCCGCGCTCGCGCAGATCCCAGTCACTGGAAGAAGCTCCGTGCACCCGCGATTAGGCGGTAGACTTCATCTTTTCCTATCGTGTGTCTTCCATTTCCCACAAGAAACACAAGAAACCAACTATTTTTACTCCCGATTGCTGCCCCATTCAAGTTAGGAAGTTTTTGTTTCTTTTAACTTTAAACATAAATACATGGGATGCTCCTTTGGGAAAGCGAGTGAGTTAGAACTCAAACAGTAGTAGGAAACTCCAAAATTTAGGAGTTACGGACTCGGGTATGTTTTACTATTTCTATTTGAAAGTATTTAAGGATACAGAAAATCGCTGCTCTGATTTCTTGCCAGGGATTTGTTTAGCAAATTCCTCAGCTTAAACTTGGGCACCTACCTAAGAACACAGGGTTCTAAATATGATAGGAGCTGGCACATTTGGTGATAATGATCATATAACTAACCAAATTTCAGCTTTATTTAGAACTGGGTTCAGCAATGCGTAGTACACGTGGATGTTAGTCTACAAACCTCATTTATTAAAATCTAGCATTGCCCACGAAATAATTTGGAAGTTTACATTTATAAGAGAATTCTTAGCTTTCCGAAAACAATCACAATAGGAATGTTTTCCGTCATTCTTGAGATACTTAAAATAAGATTGGATCTCATTATATTAAATACAGCTCCATCATTTATCATCAGGGAACTATTCTGAGCTATGGATTTCTCTGATTTTCTACAAGAATGAGAATAGTTGATGCTAGGAAAATTGGACAGATACATACAAAAAATGAAAGTAGATTGACTTCTTACATCACACACAAGAATAAATTCAAAATGGATTAAAGTCTTAAAAAGTAGACTCAAAATTATAAAAAATTCCTAGGAGAAAACATACGCAGTAAACCTCAGACATAGCTTATAGCAATATTTTTTCTTTTCTTTTTTTAATTTTATTTTAATCATTGTTCAAATACAGTTTTCTCCTTTTTACTCCCAATCCAGCCCCCCCACCCCCCAGCAATATTTTTTTCTTATACATCTCCTCAGGCAAGGGAAACAGAAGAAAAAGTAAACAAGTGGGCTACATCAAACTAAAAAGTTTTGGCAGCAAAGAAAACTGTCAACAAAATAAAAAGACAATCCACTGAATGGCAGAACATATGCGCTGATACATCTGATGAGGGGTTAATACCCAAAATTTATAAAGAACTTATAAAGCTCAACTCCAGGAAGACAAACAATCCAATTAAAAAGTAGGCAAAGGACCTGAATAGACACTTGTCTATTTAGAGAACATATAGATGGCCAATGGACCTATGAGAAGATGTTCAACGTCACTAATCATCAGAAAAATGCAGATTAAAACTACAATCAGATATGACCTCACACCTGTCAGGATGGCTATCATTAATAAATCAACAAACAGCAAGAGTTGGTAAGGATGTGAAGAAATGGGAACCTCATGCACTGTTGGTGGGAATGCAGATTGGTGCAGCCACTGTGGAAAGCAGAATGGAGTTACCTCAAAAATTTAAAAATGGAACTGCCTTATGGCTCAGCAATTCCACTTCTGGGATTTTATCCAAAGAAACTGGAAACACTACTTTGAAAGAATATAAGCACCCTATGTTCATTACAATATTATTTTCAATAGCCAAGGTATGGAAGCAGCCCAAGTGTCCATCAGTAGATGAGTGGGTGAAAAAACTATGATACATTTACACAACGGAATAGTACTCAGCCATAAAAAAGAAGAAAACTTTACCCTTTTTGACAGCATGGATTGACTGGAGAACATTATGCTAAGTGAAATAAGCCAGTCAGAGATAGACAAATACCATATGGTTTCACTCATATGTGAAATCTAATGAAGAAATTGAACTAATAAGCAAAATACAGATAGATTCATACATAGAGAGCAGGCTGACAGCTCTGGGTGGGGGCGGATGTAGGGGGTGGAGGGACAAAGCAAAACACAAACAGAGAAGGAACTCATGGACACAGACAACAGTGTGGTAATTGCAGAGGTGGGGGGTGGAGGTGGAAGAGAGTGTAAGGGGGATAAACTGTAATGGAAAAAATACAGGAGGGGGATATTCAGGGCTAAATGGTAATGAAAAAAAATACAATTAAAAAACTATTTTAAAAAAGAGAGAATGGTGCCTCTCTTGCCCTTTAGCATTCTAAGGGAAGAAGTCAACGAATAATCCATGTGAAGTCTATTGTAAACCATAATTTACTGTATAAATGTAAGGAATTAAGGAAACTGATTTATGCATGACATTTTAGCAATACCATGATTCCACAAAGCAAGACATATCTTCAAAGGTAATCTCAAGATTTTTAATTAGATATATTCTGATTTACAGCACTGCCTGTACCAATAGGCAGGGGTGTGGTATGTCTTATGAGATTGAAGACTTCTTGCCCAGCATAAAATGTCTTCCCCATAAAGCAACTCTCTAATTTCTTGCATTAGGAAAACCACTGGGTTAAATGGCAGAGGTTCAGGTAGTACCTCCAGAGGGCACAGTTAAAATCCAATGCGCTACTTTACACAAACTATCTGTCACTACTTAGTGTTTCAGCATATAGAACCATACCAGATACATAGTATGATTCAGCAAATATTTGTAAAAGAATTTAGGGCTCTGTCCTAAATCCAGGTTGTGAAATAAAGGTGACACTCTGCCATCCTACTATTTTCCCTCTGGATTCCTTCCTGCCATCTTGCAAAGCCCCCTTGCTTCACGGTCACCTTAATACCACCATCACCACCCAAGATGGAGAAGTTGCAACATTTTACAAAAGGCTGGAAATGGAAGAAGATATAGAGTAAAAAGCAAAGAGTCAAGGACAGAATCTGGGGATCACCAGTACTAACAAGATAGGCAGAGGGGCTTCCCAGGAAGCTAGAGAAGAATCTGAAGGTATGGGGTTATGGGGAAAAGGGGGGGAGGGAGTGATCAGAAGAGTCACACATCACACAATGGTTTAGTAGAATAAGTATGGATATTCCTCACTCTGCGTGGCATTGAGGGGCCATAGAAATGATCAAGCTTAAAGGGTCAAAATGGTCCTCATAATCTATGGGAAAAATGATTGTCCTAAGACCTATAAAATTTTTGTCAAAACATTGGAAACACTCTATTGAGTTATAAGAAATGAAAGATACAGTAAAACTAGTATTTAAGACATTAACTGAAAGCATCAGAAACATTGAGAATTAGAGAGCATTATGTTTCCTGTGTAACAAACATCAAGACTAGCTTGAGCTGGACTTGTCTTCCCTTCATATAATTTTCTACACAGAGTGGACATCTTTCCTATGCAGTAGTAAACTGTTATACGTCTGAGTGTGGATCAGCTTCCAACACTTCATTCTTTGTGTTCTCAATATGTTATGAAGTATCTCTAAAAGTCCATTCAATGCTAAGTTTCTTGCTCGCATCACTTCCTTAGGGCCACCCTCGTCCTTTTCATCATGACTGCTTTGCCCCTGTGTGTTGATAAGCTATTCTTCACCGAGTCCCTCTGTTGGAACATCTAAAATCTGTTGAAAGGCAGCAGAGTCACCAATCCCTTAGTCAGCAGTTTCTCCTGTGACTCTATTTATGTACGTTAGAATTTTATTTCCGGCATTATCACTTTTTATTTCTTTGCTTTACTTCACCTCTCTTGGCCAGTTTCCTCTTTTGACTATCCATATTTGTAAAATGTCTTGTGGGACATTGGACAACGTAGCTCACTTGGTTGGGCATTGTCCTGCAAACCGAAAGGTCTCAAGTTCAATTCTTGGTTAGGGCAAATGCCTAAGTTGTGGGTTTGGTCCCCAGTCGGAGTGTGTATAGGAGGCAACTGACTGATGTTTCTCTCTCTCTCTTTTTTCTCTCTACCCCTCTCTCTAAAATAAGTATGTCCTTGGGTGAAGCTAAAAATAAAAAAAAATAGATCCTAACAAAAATCACAATCTTTGAAAAGATAGGCAACTAATTAAAAAATAATAATAAAATAAAATGTGGATTTAGCACTGGGAGATGAGGAAACGACACTGTGGCACTCTTCGCTGCCTGTGTGGGAACTGAATAAGACACATAGTGAGCAGCCACCAACAGACTTGGAAAGAAGTGATGTTATAATGAAGAATCTGATTTCATGTTTCGATGTGTGAGCTCTGACATCTTTTAAGCCTCACCCCTCCTTCTTACCCTCATGTCCCGCATGTGGACAAGCTGACAAGAAAGCCCAAGTGCTGCCTCTTTTGGGAGATTCAAGTCCCTTCTTGCCTAGTGTAGGAGCTCTCATCCTAGCCCACTCCCCAACCACAATAAACCCGAGAGCCAGTCTCCTTGCCTCTGCTCTCAAGCCACTTTCGAACTGGCTTGGGAGGTCCATTCTGTTCTTCCCAGAAAGCATCAATTGTGTAAATAACAAACACACTCTCTTGGCTTGTGCATGATGTCATTAGTCTTGACATACTATGACATATTTGACATACATATTCCAACTTTGGTGGAAGTTGTGTGTTCGTGACAGACACAGTGA